ATGGCCGGAGAAGCAGTGCGTCGGTGCGCGCCCGGGATCCGAACCTGGGCCACCAGTAGCGGAGCGCGCGCACTTAACCGCTAAGCCACAGGGCCAGCCCTATAAATACTTTTGATAATTTTTAAAAATACATTACTTCATAATACAATCTTTTAATAAAACTCAAGACATGTTTACCAATAGACCCAAAACACCTTTTAGTTTCTCTGTAATAAGCCAAAAGTAGATAAACCTATATTTAGCGATCAATGTCTAATATCTTATCTTATTTGGAAATGATCTAGATACTCAATGAATTTTTATCATTTCATTTAACCTAGCAAAACCTCAAGGTTTCATGCTGCCAAAGAGATTTTGGAAGCTATTTTAAGTACGTACACCATAACACATAATTATTGTTAAAAGTTCACCCAACATTCATCTTTTTCACGTCTATTTAGTTGCTTGTTCCCAATAATTATTTAGATTGCCTACAAGACTTCATGAGACATTAGATAAAATTAGCTGTCATTTAAGTTATTATTTTTGTTAACCAGTTTTGTAATAGAAGTAACATCACCTTATTTGACCAATAAATGTAGCAAAAAGGCTGCATGTCTGCATCATAGCCAATGCCAAAAACCAACAGACTTAAATAAGATTTTATTTACCAAAGATTATTTCATACCACGTTGTCTTGAAAAGCATTTGGGTTAGTTGCATTTAGAAATTTTTTTTTTTTTTTTTTTTTGCTGAGGAAGACTGGCCCTGAGCTAACATCTGTGCCCATCTTCCTCTACTTTATATGGGACGCCGCCACAGCATGGCGTGACAAGCAATGCATTGGTCCACATCCAGGATCCGAATCCGCGAACCCTGGGCCGCCAAAGCGGAGAGCGCGCGCTTAACCGCTGCGCCACCAGGCTGGCCCCCAGAAATCATTTTTGTAAGGACTTACTTTAAGCCAATTAAACAGAGCTCTTAATTTTAGCCATACCATCCAGAGATAAAATATTACACACATATAACATACATATAGACACACATAAACAACAGACAAATGCAACAAAGATTTTATAACCTCTGTTTTAAAAATATTAGTGGTTTGTGTCTGCAAAAGCTTCTTTTCCCATTTTTTTTCTTTCAGTCTTAGGCCCCCTTTTTTTTAAGCACATGTGCAAGTCTCCAGAGCTCGGAGGGGGAGGCTAGCCATTCGGGAATTGGTCAGGCTTTTTAGAAGCTCGATTTCCCACTTTTTTTTAGTTTTACTTTGCTATAAAGTCTGAACAATTTCTAGGGACTGTGTAGTGGGTCAGAAGTGTGCTGCTTGTGAGTGTTACTCGCTAAAGAAAGGTCGTAATCACTCTCTTACGTGCCTCGGTTTTTCCCGCCCACAGCCTAATACCACCGTGGGGGCTTGGAGCACAGGTGACCAGCCCTTAGGCACTTCCCCAGATGAGCCTTTAATTAATTAATGTGAATGATAGTGGAGTTCCCTATGGGACCGCTGCACATCGTTAGGATTGCCTCTGAGGCTCCCGCTGAGGTTCTCAGTCACCTGAGAACACCTTTTGGTCGGGAGGAGCAATGTCCCTTTTCTTCAGAGCTGAACACAATCAGTCTCTCATTTCTCTATCAAGCAGTTTGTTCAGAGCTTGTAAACACAGTTCTTCCCAATTTAAAGCCAAATTTGAAAAGGTCAGCCTGCCCCATTCACTCCAACAGTTCCTCCAGTCTCCCCTGGCCTAGGACATTCCCCCTAGGCTTCTCTTTCCTAGCAATTCCCCCTAGGTTCCTCTGACGTAGGGTATGTACCAGTCCCCTCTTAAGACACCTAGTCTTAAGGCTTGAAACAGCTCAAATAAACTCTGGACCGTCGACTTAAAATAAGGAGGTCCGGGTTTCAGGAGAACTCACCAGGGTCACCTGAAGAATGCAGTTACCCAGGGGTGCTCAATGGGCCCAAATGCCGGTTCAGTGTAGATTCCAGGTTGTCTCTGGTGGGTTTCTGTGAAATCCTGCAGTGACTATACCAAGATAATCATGTAATGTATGCTACTGCTGGGTGTTGGGTGGGTGTAGATGTGGATGAAGCCCTAACGCAGCATCACTGTGCTACAGACAGGGCCCACCCAGCACTGAATATACGGGTGAAATACAGAATTATACATACGTGACATAAACATATAAATTATACACATATACAGTTTTTCATTATATCCGTATATGAAGTGCCAGGGGGACCCTGACACGAGTACAGAGGGATCCTTTGGATGGCAACTGGGGTGAGGGGTGAGGGATGAAAGGTGAGGGATGAAAGGTGAGGGGCAAGGGGTGAGGGGTGAGGCAAGTGAGACAGGGCCCAGGTTTGGACTCCATAGAAGGTGCTCAGGACGAGAACATCGTCCTCAACATGTCCACAGCAAGAAAGAAAGGAGGGGGATAGCGGTCCTGTGAACGTTGTCAGACCCCTCGGTCCATTTCCATAAGTGGGGTGCACGTGGGCCGGAAGGGACTACTGTCAGCAAAGTCAGGAGATGACGGGGGCTTGAAGCCATACGTTTAGTGACACTGGCACTAGCTTTAGAACGTTTAGGTGAGATGTTGACATTGAGGCTCTGTTTTTACGCCTGAGTTTCCTCCAGAATAACTCCGGGGAGCGGGAGGTACAAAGGAATCTGGATGCGCCGAGAGACAGTGATTGAATTTGGGTGTGAGCTCGTTATTCTGTTCCTTTTACTTTTGTTTGTTTGACTTAAGTTTTGAATTCAACCCTTGTATAAGTTTGACACTTTCCATAATAAGAAGTCTTTTTAAAGCAAGGTTGTCACTCCATAAAAATCCCAAGAAGCCCTGAAAGGCAGACAGCAAGAGGCACATCTCCCTCCCACCCCAGAACCCCAGTGGCGGGATCCCACCCCGAGGTCACCCTGCAACCTGTGTGCTCAGGTGCCGTCCACAAATGCGCGAGAATCCACAGACAGACACATCAGCCTGGTGCACGTAGCTGGCCAGGCTGTGTTCCCTGGTCGGGCGGGTTTTCCCGTTTGCAGATGGCAAGCGGCCTACTGAAGGATGCGGTGACACGCCTTGCTCCTGACCCCTTTCTCCTCAGGGCCTGGGGCTCTCTCGAGACCGTGACTAATGCTGTCCTGTCTTGTCCTCAGCTTGTCGGGGTGCCCGAGAGCCACGTCAGCCATGAAGAAGGCGAAGCTGTCGGGAGAGCAGATGCTGACCATCAGACAGCGGGCCAGCAACGGTAACCGCCCAGCCGCCCCGCCGCTCAGTCCCCGGCCTGACCGGAGCCAGGCACGGTCACAGCCGGCCTCGCAGACAGCGGAAGCAGAAACAGTTCTCGCCCTGTCTCTGATGCCAGTCCAGTGGGGGGAGCAGTCTCTCCAAAAGCTGTCCCCCGACTTCACCTCTCACCAGAACACAAGCCGAATTCAGAGGGTGCCCCCAGAATCCACGGCAGCTCCCCAGGCCCTCCTCCCGGGGCCTCCCCACAGAGGAGCAGAATGCGGGCTCCCTTGGGCCACACGCAGCAAAGACACAGCACCCCATCCCCTCTCCTCGCTCCCCTGCACTCTGGGCTCTCAGGGGCCTGATGTTCTTGAATCCTCCCACTTGCCTCCGTGCTACCCACCCACAGGGCGTCTTGTGTAGAAAGTTCTAGGGGGAGGATGAGAGGCCGCGGGACAGGCCTGCAGAGTGAGGAGAGCACACAGTCCTAAGAGACATTTCAGTCCATCACCTTGATTGGTGGATTCCATACTTGTGAATTCGCCCACTCACTAAAATCTATCTGTAACCCCAAAATCAACACTCCTGGCAGGTTCTTGGCCACTCAGGGACAGGCAGAGAGCGGAGAGAAGTTTGAGTCTCACCTGATGCACGTCCCAGCTGAGGGGAGCAAGGTCGCTCTGTCTTCTTGTTCCAGGTCCTCCTGTGAACAAGGGTCCTTTTCACCATCTGTTTAGTGCTTTTGTGTTTACAAGGTCCCCAGGCCTGGTGCTGGGTGCTGTCTAGGTTCCTTAGCAGAGGCTGTGAGTTGCCTGACGGAGAAAATATGCCATAGAGAAGCTTCATTGGGGCCTGAGTTAGGTGCTGCTGGCTGTGAGTTCATGCCAGTGGATCAACAATACACATTAAATAAGGTGTCTTTAAACGAACACACACAAAACACGCTTATGTGTTGATAGGTTGATGAAGACTTTGTGGCCAGAGGCTCACAAGGACCCATCCCTGTATTTCCCCCTGAAGCAATGGCTCCGTGTTCACTGACTCTGTCTCTGTGGTGACTTTATAGAACATACTCCCCGAGTGAGGAGGGCCAGGTGTAATCTGTAACCACTCAGCAAATGTCGCCTTTGACCAGGAGCTGGCCTCCCTGCTCAGCCCCTCGGGAGGGTTTTGTGAGCACTGGGCTTGAGCAGAGCAGGATTCACCCTGAAACAGGAGAAGCAGAGGCTCTGGGCAAGGTGCTTCCCTAACTCTGTGTTCCTCAAAGGAACTGAGCACGCCAAAACGTGAGTCACTCCTGGGCTGATGTCCCTTTGGCCATCACAGAGAGTCCCAACCTGTAAAACTGGCCCTCGGGTGGAGCCAGGCCTCCTGTCCTGGGGCTTCATCAAAGCCGGCCTCCTCCCCAGGGATCCACTGACAAGGAGACAGACCCAGAGGAGCTCCCTGCGGAGAAGTGCACGGGCCTGGGCCACAGGCCTGAGGCTTCCGCACGACATTCGGCCATTCATCTGAGGTCCTGAGGGCAGCACAAGAGACTCAGCGTGCACCTGCCTGACAAAATAATCCTTAATGTGCGGCCGTCGTTTCCTGGGAAGACAGTCAGGGTCACACTATTTCTATCTTGAAGGATTGGATACCACGGGCCCCGTGTTCTGCCTCCGCACTTCTGTCCACACAGTCAGGAGCCAGAGAAATGGAGACTAGCTAGACAGAGTTCTGCCTTCCAGAAGTTCTCAGGCCCACCCTGCAGTCCCGGTGGCCAGCATGGGGAAAGCTGTTTTGAGACAACATGATGACCAACATCACTTCTCCCTCAGTCATCGAGGGGCAGTGCTCATTGCCAGGAAGAAAACAACATTTACTGAGCTCTTGCCAAAATATTCAGCATGACATTTCAAAACAACCTTGGTGCTAAAGCAAAAATCCTTAAACACATTTTTCTGAGTTTGTATCCGTTTACGATTCACTAACGAAGGCAGTGGTAGTTAGACGGAGGGCTAGTGCAAAAAAAAAAAAAAAAAAAAAGTAAGAAAGCACATTGAGAGAGCAGATCTGCAAACCCGGGCGAGGAGCTTCTCACACATGGCTGGGCTGCCGGGGCCGAGAGCAGGAAGTTGGCCGAGCTGGCATCTCTCAGTCAAATCACCATCACCTTATCAGGGGGCATCCGAAATTCAGAATCCTCTTTCTGTAACTACCAGACACAGCTGTTATTCAGAAAGACTAGCACCGTGTTGAAGAGGTGAAAATAAGGGTGGTCTGTGACTATTCACTGGAGGAGTCAATGCCCGGGCTGCATCCTGAGTGGGCACCCGGCACAGGGCACTGCCCCAGTCAGCCAGGGTCGCCAGGCTGGGGTCGCCATCTGCCTGTTTCTCTGCATCCGAACACAGTTTGCACGATTGTAGGCTTTAGGGCAGTAACATTTCTTCCTGCTGTAGGTTCTATTACACGCACGTCCACAGAAGAGGACCATGGGAAACCCCAGGTCACCCGGATAGTAAGCAGCAGAAGTTATCCCCAGGTCTGAGTCCCTGCTGGATCCTGGGGCCCTCGGTCCTCTTGTTTCTCACCTGTTGGGGCAGCCTCTGTGCCAGGATCAGAGACATTTCTTGCTAAACCCCAGAGCACACTTCTCTCAGTGCAAAGGCTGTGCTGCAGGATACAGATAACTAGCCGTCGTCTCTGTGTCTGTGTGGCTAACTCAAGGGCAAGACTATGGGAAATTTACCACTGCTCTTCAGGGGACAGAAGCGTGAATATTCCATTTCCCACTGCAGTTGTGCCGTCCTTCAAAATCAAAAGACTTGGTTTTGATATTGCCTTAGCTGTACATGTGGAAGAGACAATCTCTCTTCCTCTCTTTTCTTGAATATCGTGAGTGTGAAACCTTATCTGAGGTCACTGTTATGCCTTCATGTGTGACACATGTGTCCGGAAGCTTCCCTCCCTCGGTGCCCTTGTCTAGAGTGACAGGATCTCCGAAACCTCAAGGAGACCACCGTTAGTTTCCGTAGCTGACCCTGGTAAGGCGGTTGCTGTCTTGGGATTCCAACTTTTTCTCTCAAGCACTTATCTGAATAGGAAGGAGCTATTCTAAATGGCCTTGAAGCTCCCTTCCAGCTCTGAAATCCTTTTTGTTAAGTTTAGAGAAGAGTCTGCTCTCATCTCTTCCCCCACAAGATTATCGTTATTTTATTTATCCCACTGAATGACCTCATGTAATTAATCAGTACTCAACCCGCTCGGAGCAGCCGTGTAACGGGAACTTAAAGTTCACTGCTGGCCTGTCGGCATCTTTGCCTGGTGGTGTCTCTGTCTCTGCTTTTTTTTTTTTTTTTTTGGCCAAGCCTTTAGGAGAGAAGGAAATGAGATAATTTTCTTCATCATCATAGAAGATTGGAAGCTGAGGGAAGGAGCTCTGACTTTTATGGAGCAAGGAGATGCTGCGACTTGTTCAGACCAATCCTTATCTAGGCCATGCCCTGCCTGAGAGCAAGCAGGCCCATCTGTGGAACTTAGATATGTTAGTTCTAGCTCAGCCAAGCAGTGGGGCGAGGTGCTGCTGGTGCCGCCCTAAGACACAGGCACCAACAAGCACAAGGCAGCTGGCTTTCTGGGCCCCAGTCACTGCCCTGCTGCACCCCAGCGTGAACCAAGGGGACTGGGGGTCTTTGCACCTGGGTCTGGCATGCTGTCCTCTCCAGAAGTGGGCTTCACACAGAGGCACACATGTGCTGGGCCTCTCAGGGATGTCTTGGGGGCGAGTAGACACGGATGGCTTTAAGGAAATTCGTTTCCAGACCCTCCAATTCCACATGACTCCAGAATCCAATGGACTGAGATTCTGTCTGTCATCTACCAGCTCTCTCCCCGCCCCTTGTGTCACTACCCACCTTCTCCACCTTCACAGAAGAAAGGCTGCTCCCGAGTCCTGGAGCAAGACATTTGCAGGCACCTAACAAGGGAGGGCTCACCAATGCTGGGCTCCTGAGTGTGTGCCCCAGGAGGGCAGGAGGGCAGGAGGACAGGAAGGTAGGGCTGGAGAGCTCCAGGGAGAAATATGCAGGTGCTGTGCTCTTTATTTCATCCAGGCAAAAACTCACATGTTCATCTACCCATCCATCCACCCATCTATCCATCCATCCATCCATCCATCCATCCACCCACTAATCCATCCATCTATCCATCCATCCACCCATCCACCCACTGATTCAACCATCCATCCATCCATCCATCCACCCATCCACCCATCCATCCATACATCCATCCACCCATCCACCCATCCATCCACCCATCCACCCATCCATCCATCCATCCATCCACCCATCCACCCATCCATCCATCCGTCCACCCACTGTCCATCCGTCCATCCACCCACCCATCCATCCATCCACCCATCCACCCACTGATCCATCCATCCACCCACTGTCCATCCATCCATCCATCCATCTGTCCACCCACTGTCCATCCATCCATCCATCCACCCACCCATCCACCCACCCACACATCCACCCACCCATCCATCCATCCATCCATCCATCCATCCACCCATCCATCCCTCCATCCATCCACCCACTGATCCACTCACCCATCCATCCACCCACCCATCCATCCATCACCCACCCATCCATCCACCCATCGCTCCTATAATAAAAACTAGATAGAGAAAAGTTGTCATGGGACCCTTGCTAATACTTTTATTGGGTTTAAAATGATACTGACGTCTGTCAGAAAGTTGATTTGCTCTGCATATTGGTTTGATAATGACGCCAGTAGGTTTATATAGTGGACTTTTCTCATAAATTTTATAAACTAAACATTCCAGTCCAAAGTTTTGATGGAAAGACATTGAAAGCACTCTATAGCATACAATTTTGTAGAAATATATATATTTTGGGCAACTGTTTAAACTCATAATAAAAACTTTTAGATAACGACTTTAAGACTTGGGAGGAGGAAATTGTTTTTAATTTTTTAGTTCAACAAAAATGTAAGCCCACTGCACTAGACCACATACAATATATTTCCTTTTTCTTTTTCTTTTAATTATTTGTCAACTCACATTACTGTGTCAGCTACTTTTCAGTCAAAACACAGATAAGTTTGTAGACATGAATTCTCTGCCTGTCTTTGCCGTCTCGAGCAACACTCAACATCTAACCTTTCTCTTGAGCCACCATTTAGTGAGTCTCACTGTGGGTCAGGTATCTTACATGGTTCATTTATTTCTTACAGCCGCTCTGTCGGATGGGGACCATTTTTGCAACAGAGGAATTTGAGGATTAGAGGGATTCAGAAAATTACTCATCACAAAACTCTTAAGTAGCAGGAGATGGATTTAGATTCCAGGTCTGTCCTGTTTCAAACCCCAGGGTCTAAACCCCTGACTTCTAAAACCTCTCATCAGGCGGTTCAGAAATGCCTCTAGACCTCAGGAAATCTGCCTGGTAATGTGATCTCTATCCCCTGCTTACATGTAGTTTTCCATGAAAGTCAAATAGAAAATGATCACTGTTGGACACTCTTTCATAAAAATTCAAGCCGGTAAAATGGCCCTCCCAGATTTAACACATACTCCAGAAATGCCACGTTCCTTCTCATAACTTTATCAGAATTCCTCTGAGCTTTCATCACCAGAGTCTAGCCCCAAGACAAAGTTGTTGACCTTTTGAGCTGTTTGATATGCTGCACTCTGCACTAGCTGCCATTGATGGAGCGGCTCTGACGAGCCAATTAAGCTGATCTAATTGGAGTTTTGGGGAAAGCTATTCTTTCCCACAGTTCTCTACGTTTTGCAAAGGCACAGTGTTCTTCACGTTGCTCATCTTTAAATGGGCTGTTTGCTTATAATTCCGCTTGTGCACCCTAACGGAAACGTGCCATCTTGATGTTGGGAGCAGGCAGGTGGTTAGAGCATTTTCACCTTGCTATCAAGAATTACCCAACGTTAAATATCTGGATCAAACAGCTCTGGGGTCTTCAGCGGATGGCTCCCCAAGAAGAGCTGCACGGCAGCTTCACGTGCAGATTCCAGCTCTCAGAAAATCGACCCACTGCAGCCCGGGGAATCGAGGTGTTATGAGTATTCAGGTCACTGCGGGCCTCAGCTTACACAAGAGATGTTCTCAGTGAATTTGGACTGCTTGCAATTTAAAAGAATTCAGTGACAAAGCCTTGTTAAATGATAAATTGATTCATGATTCAGTTGCTTCTCAATCCAGATTGTTAGACATTGAGTTTTCCTATCCTGAGGTATATCTGAACTTCTACTACAGAAAAAGAGCGACATTGCCACCTCCTTGATCCACACTCCTGCTTGCCAAGCATTATGTACATCATCTCAATTGATCTTAATTCCTAATTTTGAAAGATTGCCATAAAAGGCTGATCACATATAAAAAAGGGGAAAAAAATAACAGCCCATACCTGAGAAAGGGTAAACCTCATTACTGGCATCTTTCTATGATATCTTTGAATTGCTTTGGGGTGCACTTGATAAACAGGGGAACTTTGTTGTCGATGTTCTGGATCCTATGAGACACTGGCAAGGAATCCTCTCTGAGGGCTTAAGTGGCCGGTCACAGGTCATGGTCTCAAGACCACCACTTCTGGTCAGTGGTCCACACCAGGTCCCTCTGGGTGAGGCAGGAGCACACCCGAGGGAGGAGGAAAATCTCTGAAGGCACTCAGATCAGCATGTCTGTGAAGCTCCTTTAATACCTAAGGCTGATTCGTTGGAGAAATGATCCAGAAGGAAGGTACATGGGAAAAGCAATTGAACGAGTCACATGCTCTTCCTCATTGCTTTTATGAGAACAGTGTTGTGGGAGAAATGTGACTCTTTCCAGGAAGATTGCTTACTCTTTTGAATCTTTTTTTTTTTTCGTTTCACTAAAAATAGCAACTAAGACCCCACCCCGAGCACTTTCTCTTTTCTTTGTCTTTTCAGTGTCTCGGTGGGGAGGAACCCATCATTGGGTCTCTGCAGTGTTTTGGGGTCGTCTCCGGTCGACTGCACCCCTCTGTCTATAGAGCCGGAGAAGGGTGTATGTACCCCACCCCAGCTCCCTTCGGAGGCCTGGGCTGCATGTGTTTTCCCTTGGGTTTGAGGAAGGCTCCCTTGTTGTGCCGTTAACCGATGGGAATGGCAACCCCATACCCTGGATTGTCAAGATAGCTGCATTTGCAAGATTTCCACTCTTCTTCCCCATAAGGACACACAGTCGTGTGAGACCAAATGGCCCAAACTAGAAAGGATCCCGATCTTTCTGATCCTGGCAGTGTAATGTTGCCAGCAACCGAACACATCAGCCAAGCCAGCCAGCTTTGACAATGCCCCTGTAAATACAGTCATTCTGCCGCTGTGCCAGAGAGGCCAGTGCTGACCCCTGCAGCCCACTCAGGCTCAGGCTGGTGGGCGGTCACCTGCCTGGCCCTTCCTCTCCCTGCACAGGACCACGGCTCAGGCCAGGACGCAGGGACTCTATCCAGCCGAGCTTCTCTATGTGGCGATTCTGTCAGCTGATATGTACTTTCTATCATTCAAAATGAGGAGTTTTTTATCAGTTAAAAGTCAGACATTCAGAGAGCCCTTTTGTGACGACTGACCTTTTGTCTATCACTGCCCCCGTCATTCTCTTCCACATCAGACGGCTTCTTTTTAGTCAACAAAGTAGACAGTCCTCAGCACTCACTGAATCAGGTTTTTGGTTACACATCTGTCAAGGTTTCCTCCCCAAAATCTAGCCTTGGTGAGGGCAGGGACTACATAGGCCTCGTCTGGGGATGTGTCCACCTGAGAGATAGAGAGAGAAAAAGAGAGGGATAGAAAGGGAGTTGGGAGGGCGAAGAAAGAGATTAAGAGAATAAGTGAAGGAGACAATTAGTACGCTAAACCAGGTAAATCCACATCCAGGACAAAGGCTCCTGTCAGAAGGTCACCCCCTGAGGCTGATTATTTATCCAGAGGAGATTCAACCTTTCAGTGCTTGGGGGCCAGCGCGAGGGTCTATGTACCCTGAGTCATTTCTTCTGGTGTAGGTGCCTCTGTTGTGGGGAAGGTGGTGGTAGGAGAGAGAAGGACACACAAATTGTGACTGTTTTTTTTAATTCAAGAGTATATTGTCAGGAAGGACGCTGGTGTCGAGCAGAATAACTACCGTGGCCTCCCGCGCTTCGTGGGAACCCCAGATGTGCGGCCTTCTGGCCAGTGTCTCCTTCCTTGTATCTCTGGGATTGCAGCTTTCTGTCAGTTTGCTGTGGCTGAACCAAGAAAGAAGGCAGATTTCTGCAAAAATTGTGATTCCATGACAGATTTTGAGGAGAGAAGGAAGGCTGGTATCTTTCAGAGTGCAAAGTGACTTTGGAATGTAAAGAATTTCTTTGGGTTGAATTCTGTGGAAGTGTGTCACTCATTGACTTGTGTTCCTGAACTATGAAATGTGAATGTTTGGGCTAAGGAATAGTTTCTCTTGATAAATAAACAATTAAGAAATGCTGTGACGAGAAAAAAGAGTATATATTTCCCAGCAAATTCAATTTGAACTATAAAAAGAACAGAGAAATCTTACCACCGCTAATGTTTTCACGCTCTTGCGGCCGTCACCACAGGTATAGAGAACGATGAAGAGATCAAACAGCTGGACGAGGAGATCAAGGAGCTGAGCGAGTCCAACTCGCAGATGGAGGCTGACATGATCAAACTCAGAACTCAGGTAACAGCCCTGAAGCCTCAGCCATAGCCGGCGCGCGTGCTGTGACCCCGGAGGAACACGCAGAGGCGTCGTTTCCTTTTCTTTGCTCTTTTTGTCCCTTTATGTTGTCACCTTTTATCTTAATTTTCTGCTGAGATCATTTCAGTGGCAAACTTTGCTGTAAGAGGTGGGCCTGGCTCACCTAGTTTTCTGTCTTGTGTTTGCTTTTTAATGACATGCCCTTTGTGGGTAGTCCCAGCAGACCCCCGTCCCTGCAGTAGACAAGCTGTTTCCTCCGGGACACTGCAGGCCCCGTGTCACTGAATCCCCACATTAAACAGAGAGCAGCCGATATCCCCAGGACTCCCGTAAGGGGTGCTGTTCCTCGGGGCTGTGAGGGCGGCCTCTGTCTGTGCAGATTCCCAGGCCCCGAGAGGTCAGCACAGACGCCCAGTGACGTGCAGCCAGCTAGCTGGAGTGGGAGGGCGGGACGGGCTTTTATTGAGCACCTGCTGGACGCCCGATCACAGGGCTGTGGTCATCTAACCCCACTCTGTGCTCACAGTGGCCCACTAGGTAAGCATCCTCATGGTTGTTTCACACACGTGGCATCTAAGCTTCAGCGAGGGCACTTCCTCAGCTAAGCCAAGACCACAGAGCCAGCCCATGGCCGGGCTGACGGTGCCCAGGGCTCCCCATGTGCCCTGCCGCCCCTCTAAGAGCTGCCCAGGTCCCAGTGCACAGCGTAGGTTCTGGGAGTGGAAGCTTGTTGCTCAGAGCAGCTCCTTTGCATTGCTGTCACAGGTAAGGCGAGGCATTTCTGTCCTGTTAGGAACGAGGCTACAGCTCCCACCATCCCTGTGGACCTGGACCGGCCCCTCCCCAGTGGGCCCCTCGACAGTGTTACTGGGATTCTCGGGAGAGGCTGAGAGGGACTTGCCCTCGTCTTGTGGGGCCAGGTAGAGGTCACAGCTCCACTCTGCCACCTGCTGACCCTCATCCATGGTGGGCACAGCCTCTCGGGGTGGGGGGCACTCAGGCTGGGTTCCCACCAGAATAACCAAAAGGGATCCCGTGGGTGCCTCCCTGTGAGGACGAAGGACGAGTGGAGGGTAGACGGTCTCTACCTGCCCACACCTGTCCTGTCCCGCTGTTTTGACACCAGCCTACTCGCAGACCGCAGCCTCGCCCTTGGTCACCAGGGTCAGCTCTTTTACCTGGCCAAAGGCTCACCCAGAACAGGCTGAAGTTTTCCTTAACATTTATCCAAACCTGTGGCTTTTCTCAGCCACTGACCTGGCCAAGGTCTGGCGGAGGCATTGGCTGTGTGGAGGACCCTCCCACGAGCCCCCTTTGCTGCAGGGAATACAGAGAACCAAGCCAGCCGCGAGGCCTTAGACTGGCAGACGAGAATACCCACCCTCCGGTTTTACCTGCTCATAAGGGTGAAAAGCCTGAAAATCCTGATTAATTCCCCTCTGAATGGCACATTTCTTTTTTTTTTTTTTTTTTTTGTGAGGAAGATCAGCCCTGAGCTAACATCCATGCCAATCGTCCTCTTTTTGCTGAGGAAGACCAGCTCTGAGCTAACATCTATTGAATGGCACATTTCTAACAGTGGTGAGGATTCAGAATTTCCTCATCTGCCCGGCGTGTTAAGTCCACAGCCCGCCGGGCACCCCGTTCCGCAGGACACGTCTCAAACACCAGGAAGACCCCTCCCCTCCCCCCAGCCCCTCCTCTGCGGGGAAACCCTGCCCCCAGTGTGTCCATTTACCCGTGGACAGAGAGCACTCACCCGCTGTGAATACAGCCTGGACGCGGGCGCCCAGCTCAGGGCCGAGGCGGATGAACGCCGCGCTCCCTAGACCTGAGCTCGCTGGGGACCTGAGACATTCAGACCAGAAGGGCGCAGCGAGGCCTTGCCGCACTCCTCCCTGCTCAGCGATCACTTGTTCTCTGTGTCGGTCCTCACTGCCCTTTCTGGGCTTTTTTGGTGTCCCTGGTGGATGTTTGCTCCCCGCAGCATATATTTGCATCTGATGTCAAAAACGATTTTTTTTTTTTTTTGAGGAAGATCAGCCCTGAGCTAACATCCATGCTAATCCTCCTCTTTTTGCTGAGGAAGACCGGCTCTGAGCTAACATCTATTGCCAATCCTCCTCCTTTTTTTCCCTTTTTCTCTCCAAAGCCCCAGTGGATAGTTGTATGTCACAGCTGCACATCCTTCTAGGTGCTGTACATGGAGACACTGCCTCAGCGTGGCCAGACAAGCGGTGCGTTGGTGAGCGCCCGGGATCCGAATCCGGGCCGCCAGTAGCGGAGCGCGCGCACTTAACAGCTAAGCCATGGAGCCGGCCCCCAAAAACGAATTTTAAGGGTTAAAGTGTATTCTCACTGGCCTGGCTGATGAACAGCGACCTCCCAGAGGTGCTCGGGGTGGCTCCTCTACTCTGGAAAGCCAGCCCAGCGCCTTGAAAGTGACGGGGACCCACTGAGCCAGGTCCCGAGCTCTGCAGTTTTCGGGGCCAAGGGGTGGGCTGCAGGTTGAGTGACCAGCAGCCCTGAATATGGAGACGGGCAGTGGCCACACAGGCCACAAAATGCGGTAGTCAGCAGGTTAGACCTCAGGCAAAACTCGTGAGGAAACCATCTGAGCCCACAGCTGGAGGAGCGCCCTTCCTCCCTCGCCACCTGCACAGCCTAGTTAGTGTCTGGGGACAAGCGGTAGCCCTGGGAGGGCCTCTGACTTCTTATCTTTGGCCAGGGCGCAGTTAGCCTCCTGATTGTCTCAGAAAATGCCAGAGGTTGGAGGTTCTGCCTAGGCTTTCTGGTGCGTCTCACGCCCTCACTCCGCGTCCGTGCCACCAGGAAGGGGAGAGGCCCACACCGCTGTGAGTTTTGTCCCTCTGACTGGAGGAGAAGGCAAGCTCTCCTGGGGCCACTCAGCCGCCCGTGACAGCTGGGGAATGCAGCCTCGTCTGCAGAGCCCAGACCTCCGGCCAGAACAGCCGGCCAGATGGTGAAGGGGCAAAGGTCAACTGGCCTGCTCCCCAAGACAAGGTGCTGAGGATGTCAGAGCCAGGTCCCGGGCCGCGGCCCGCCCAGGCGCCTGGGGCCCCACTCTCAGAGGCCCACTCTCACCTGTCTGGTACACTAGGGGTCCACATGAGCCTTCAGGGTAAAAATAGATTCCACTGCTCCAGAAAGATCTTATGAGTGGCCAGTCTGACCCGGACCTCGTTCCACAACTTCGGGAACTGAGGAGGACGAGGTGCCGTCCCTGTGTTCCAGGTCCAGAACCTGCAAACGCAAAGTGGCAGAGTTCAATGGTCTCTCCATTCAAAACGGTCAGAACAGTGTGAAGAATTACACATATTTTTGATATCATCAAATCAGTGATTTCTTAGCTATATGTATTTCTCTTACAAATCTTATTTTTAACTTCGGCCCCAGCTAGATTTTATACACACACACCTTCCTGAAGGGGCTCCTCCCACTGCCACAGGAACCAGATGCCCTCAGACTTTTAGACAGAGGGCGTGCAGCCCATGATGGGGCACCTTTCTCCCTCTCCCCGAGGCTGAGGACAGTGAGCAGACCGCCCAGGAGCGTGTGGCTCATGGCCGACAGGACCAGGCTGCTGGCCGCTCCCCTCTCCCCCAGTCCTGTGCTCCTGACACACAGCAGGCCTTTTCCTGGTGTGGACACCCTCCATCAGAGCCACCTGGCCTTTCAAAAGCCAGGTGTCGCTGGAACATCTGGGACCCCTGATTGCTCCAGGATGGGTTTGAAAGGGGGGTATCTGCCTCCATCCTCCTGTTGGCAGCCCCTCCCAGAGCCTGGATCAGGCCACCCTCAGAGGGGCTGGGGTGGGAGGGGGAGGTCCTCCTTCCCCGTCACCTTTCTCCCGTTTCTGTCACCTCCATGTTGTGTATCCAACTCCAGCAAGTTCCCAGGGTGTTTCCCTTTAGCTTGAACCCCTTGCCTGGGACAGAAGCCCAGGAAAAACGTGTCTTCTTACTGAAAACACTGCATGTCTCTAGATGAGATGCACTTGGGCAAGTCTTGTTACTCCTGTTTCCAGGAAAAGAACCTAAGTTACCTGACTGGTCTAGTAAAGCTGAAGCCAGTAGCTCCCCCTAGACTCCCAGTTTCTTGGCATCGTTGAGAAAGGCACCAGGCAAGGGAATCTGAGCAGGGAAACCCTGTATGAGAAACTCGGAGTTCAGTTTATGAGCTGGAGATTCAGGTAATTCAGGAGCAAAAGGTGGAGACGACTGAAGGAACTGAGGCTGAGAGTTGGCGTGTATCTGGCAGTTCTCTCCACGTGTGCACACGTCCCCCCTGACACTGCCATGGGCCTGCATGCTGCTCTTGCCTGAGATTCGTGGCTCACATCTCTGTGGCCTCCAGGGAGCACAAGGCCCTTTGTCATCAGCGCTTTGACGACATTCGTCCGCACTGCATGTCTGGGTCCACTGTTGTTGTTCCTACAACCCACGCAGGTCGATCAGGACAGCTCTCCTCCCTACCTGTGTGTGAAACTGGTTGTATGAGTAAGTGCTGGTTGTCTGGTTGTAGGTGGAGGCCAGCAAGGCACCACCTAAAGCCCTTTGACCAGGGCAACAGTTAAGTTCTCCCTGGAACATTAGGGGAAGCAAGAGCAGGCCAGGAAGCCACAGCAGGCCTTCGTCTGACATAGGAGTGTAGGAATACCGTCAGGGGTGGATAAAGAGGCATCTGGCTGCCGCTGTCTGAGAAGACAGTGATGTGCCTCACAAGCGAGTTAGTATCTTAGGACTTCTGCATGGCAGAATTAGATTCAAGTCAAAAAAGAAGTGTTAGCAGCAAGTCAGTAAAACTCAAATAACTGATGTAGTCCCATCGAGCCAGTGGCGAGGACAGGACAGGAGAAGGAAACAGTCGTCATGTGACAATCTGTGCACAATGACAAGCAGAACTTTAAAGAAACTGAATAGAAGCGGACACAGCCCAGAAGGCTACCTTCCACTAGCCCATTAATCCCGCCTCAGAAAGATGAGCCGTTATAGTCCAGTTACCAAACTTTCAAGGGTGATGAATCAGAGCACAAATACCGAACACTTAAATTGACAAATTCCTAACGCTGAAGCCTTTTTACTTAAGCAAAAAGGTTCTTTCTTTGCACCGATAGACTTGTCACTCAGGGCAAGAGAGTGTGCTTCCCAAGGCTGGCCTTGTGTTACATGTTACACAAATTTGTGCATTTTAGATTACCACAATGGAGAGCAACCTGAAGACGATAGAAGAGGAGAACAAAGTAATTGAACAGCAAAATGAGTCTCTTCTTCATGAACTGGCCAACTTAAGCCAGTCTTTAATTCATAGTCTAGCTAATATCCAGCTGCCACATATGGTAAGTGACTGAGGGTGCAAGATGAGGCGTTTGGTGATCTCCACAGGGCACAGCATAAAGTAGATGTCTGTTTCTATTACTATTTTCATGTTCTTCAAACTTTGGATGTTTGTGGGTACCATCCCAAACCATAATGTTAACTGCTAGAAGCTTTGGTGGGGCTGACCCAGTGTACCCATAAGATTAAGTATGCTCTGAATAGGCCTTTTAAATATCATAAGGACAGTGGCACTATGCTGTGATACTATTTTATGCTGATGTGAATATCCTATTAAGAAAATAAAAGTTGTATATGAACTACTATTTAATATCTCGTAGGATCCAATCAATGAACAAAATTTTGATGCATACGTGACTACTTTGACGGACATGTATACAAATCAAGATCGTTATCAGAGCCCAGAAAATAAAGCCCTTCTGGAAAATATAAAGCAGGCTGTGAGAGGAATTCAGGTCTGAACAGCTGCTGTAGTGATGGAATCTTGCTTATAAAAGGATGCCTCTTGTTTTTTGCTGCTGTAATTTACCAGAAAGTGTTATATATTTATTTCTGTTTGAAACAGTGTTATGCTTACAAGACTTCATAATGATTTTATGTCTTGCTTTAAAGATAGTACCTGCAGAATAGTTTTTGAATACATTCACATTTTGTACGTTTTCATATAAGCTGACATAGTGTGATATGCCATGTAATGTTTATAGCTGCTAATGTATGCACATTTGGGGGTATATATATTTCTGAAGAGGTAAGCCGATCAAAATAAATAGAGTGTAAATTCTTTTTAATGCTTTAGTGATTAAATGTTTTAGTATTTTGGACTGAAATGGACAAAAAAAACAGCTTTGAATGATCATGCGGTGGCCCTGCAGCCACTTTTTAGACATTATCATTTTGCCTCATGTTGGAGGATTTTATGGAATTTAAGAAATACATTTTGTGTGCATATTGTTTCATAGCAAGAATTGGTTGCAAAAAATGCTTTATTTTTGAACAATGCTTGGAAATATTATGTGATTTTTTTGTTTGTTTGTTTTAGGAGGATGGTGTATGGTGGGGGCAATAAATGAGGTTTTTTGCATTCCAAGGAAATGGCATATGGATTAACTGTAAGAAATGAGATAAGTAATTTATTGTAAGACCACATCAAGCCATGGAAACTTGGCAGAAGATTCAAAGCAGCTTAAACAGCACTTTTAAATTAACTCCTGAGCATTACATGGTGTGACTGTGGGAACTTCAGCTAAGACAGGGGCTTTACAGAGGTGGACGGCGAGAAGATTTCCTTTTCCATTTTCAGTAAACTTTGGGACAACCTTCTCTTATCTTCCTGAGTTTTGTGCCCCCCTGAACTGTTATTGCAATGTGGTTTACCCAACAGAATCTGTGTGTTTTAATTTAAGCTCAAAGATAATTTAAGAGTATTTATTTCTCCTTTCCACTTTTAAAAATTATTATTGTTGTGGTTATTATTATTATTTTATATTTGGGGGATGAAAGCAAATGATTTGTACGTCTTCAAGTTACTGGACTGGATTTTCTGCAAGACTGTGGGAAAGCAGCTCAGTAAAGTGTCTCCCTCCCCCGCCACCATCTGTGGCTTGGAGTAAGCGTTGGGTTCTGTTCAGAGAACGCCTAAAATGACCTTCATGTTCTACCTTTCGTTGGAGATCGCTAACCACACAGCACTCGCATAGCCTTGTTTGGTTTGTCGTGACCTATCCTAAGAATGAATGCAATCAGATCTTAAGAGTAATGAAATCTACTTCAGCACTTTCTTGCTTTACACTAGATCGTCTTAGCCTCGTTGTACCTGGAGATTTGGTTGTTTTCTTCCAATGACTGCACTACATGTATGCATAAGACCACTTTCGATTGCCGCGTGCTCCCCGCCTGAGTAGTCCCTAGGACGACGTGTTGTGTTTTCTGATGTCAACTTGATTTACATGGAATAGCATCTCTTCCTTCCATGTCTTGATGTTATGCAGGAAGTACAAAAGTACTTTAAAATTTTGTTATGAAAAAAAAAAGATGGGTTTTGTAAAAATTAAAAAAAAATATTTTTAGCAGAACAGGACTTACAGGGTCATTGTCCCCACAGCGTGCCAGTCGATTATTTGCACTTACCTTGTCCTATATATCCGTACGGAGGTGTGCAATTCCTGGTGTCAGTAGCCTTGCGACACTGACCCTGGAAGAATTGGAGGAGGCCCTCACGGCTGACCCGATGATGTTGCTAAGGGAGATTACAGGGATCTCACAGCAAATATTCTGATACAATACTCAACCTCGGTATATATATATGTATAAATATATGTATATCCCAGCGGCACTTTATACTGCTCACTGTACAAAAGCTTACAGTTTTCCACGAGGACTTTAATAACGAGCTGGGAAAAGATTATGTAATTACCCTGGGGCTCTGCAGAGCCTTCTCTGCAGGGTGCCCTCTTTCTGTTGTGCGACTAGTTGTAGCTGCCATGCTCAGAATTGCCTTTTTGAGAGCTGAAGCAAGGTGCTTCTTGTCACCTGATGCCATGTCTGTTGTCCGTGGCCCCAGCCTCCCCGCGGGGCCCGCCGTTCGTATGGGCATATGCATTTCCCGGCCGCGTCGTGTCTGCAGCTTCCTTGCCAATATAGTAATGCTTTTAGTAGAGTAGTAGGTAGCATCAGTTTTGGATTCTTCTTGTCATCACCTATGTACAATGGAGAGGGGTTTTAAGCACAAATCTGCTGCTCATCTAACGTTGGTACATACCATCAAATCAGAAGTTGCCTGTGACTACTATATAGGGTCACAAGGTGTCACATGTAGAATGCTGACCTTTCATATGGAATTATTGTGAGTCATCAGAGTTTATTTATTATAACTTATTGTTCATATTCATTTCTAAGTTAATTTAAGTAATCATTTATGAAGACAGAATTTTGTATAAATATTTATCGTGCTCTCTGTGGAACTGAAGTTTGATTTATTTTTGTACTACACGGCATGGGTTTGTTGAGACTTTAATTTTGCTATAAATGTGTGGAATCACAAGTTACAGTGATACTTCATTTTTAAATTGTGAACTTTGTACAAATTTTGTCATGCTGGATGTTAACACATCTTACTCTCAATAAAAAAGGTGTTGCCACATCTGTCGTGCTGGGTCTCTGACAAGTCTGCGTCTTCCCTGGAGTCTGCACACGCTGTCCAGGGCCGCAGTGTCCACCAGGAGCCTTTCCCCCCAAGCCTGTCACTTTTGTTTTAAGGTTTTTAGAGGTTTAGTTCTCTACTCCAGGGCAGGTAAGAGTAAACGACTTTTTTTATTTTTATTTATTCTTTTGTGTGTGTGAGGAATATCGGCCCTGAGCTAACATCTGCCAATCCTCCCCCCATTTTTTTTTTTTTCTGAGGAAGACTGGCCCTGGGCTAACATCCATGCCCATCTTCCTCCACTTTATATGGGATGCCGCCACAGCATGGCTTGACAAGCGGTGCGTCGGTGTGGCGCCCGGGATCCAAACCGGCCAACCCCAGGCTGCCGCAGCAGAGCACGCACACTTAACCGCTTGCGCCACCGGGCCGGCCCCTAAACAACTGTTTTTAAATGACGTGAGTACTTTAGTAGGCTCACTTCGTCTTCTCGTCACGTCCAAGTGCAGGTCCCTCCCCAGGACAGGGCATCCTCCTACTCGACCACAGTGCAGTCATCACACCTGATATGACGTCATCGTTATTTAATATGCCTCCATACCCAAAAGTTCCCAGTGGAACCTATAATGTCCTTCACAGGTTTCTCCCTTATCTGGCTTTGTCAAGGATCACACACTGCGTTCAGCTGTCATGTCCCTTGTCCCTTGTCCCCTTATTCCTGAGCATGTCCTCAGCCTTCCTCTGTCTCCCAGGGCCGGATGTCTGTAAGTGTCCAGGGCGGTTGGTTTGCAGAACCTCCCTGAGTTGGCTCAGTCTGATGGCCACCGCCTGGAGCCTCTGTTTCAATGGGAGATGTCGTGTCCTTCTCAGAGTCTCACATCCGGGGCACACAAGGTCACTCACCCAGTGATTGGTGCCCTGGGTGCTTCATCATCCATGGTTACTTCCACACTGTCAGCAAGGACCACCTGTGAAACTTAAATTACCCTTCAAAGATGATTTAATGATGAATTACTCACCTTCCCATCATCTATGTTAGTGAAAGTAACCCTTTAAAATTCCAAAAATACCCTCCTATAATAGATACAATCCCTCGAAATGTAAACTTTGAGGAAGAGAACCTCATAATCTTTATTAAAGCCAAAATGTATTCCCAGTGGAGTCTTGAACTGCTCTGAGATTCACGGCCACCTGAGCCGCTCTTGCCAGTTACTGTGGTCTGGCGTTTTATACGTGACAGCACGGTCAGCTTTATCAGCGCTGACGGAGGGGAGGGGGGACGCGTTCTGAGGATCCCATCGTGTCAGGGTCTCCAGACAGACCAGGCTCTGTCAGAGGCCTGGTCTTTAGGAACAGATAAAGGTAAGTCCGATGGTGGTGTGCCAAGAAGCTGTTGTCAGTGACTAAGTCTGTCACCTTGATTATTAAGAGCCATTTTTTCCCTTAGGAGCAATGTGGCTGAGAATTGGTATAAACATTTTGGAAAGCAGTTTAGCAATAATGTCAAAAATCTTATAAAATTCAAATTTTCGACCCAACAACTCCGGAAGTCTATTTTAGGATAGACGTGTGCTGATTGCTAAGAGCCACTCTTCACTCTGCCCAGCTATGCCTTCGGGGTCAGTGAAGGTGACCCTGGGTGGGGAGCAAACCAAGGCGGTGAGGGGTGGGTGACTGGCCTCAAGGAAGTTGATTTAATCAACAAAAAAAAGAGAAGAGAGGAGTGGGGGGAGCTGGAAAAGCAGATTAGAAAGCACATATCTCCAGGTTTAGGGCAGGAATGGGAAACGACGAGGAGCAAAGAGAAATAGTACAGGAAGCTGTGCCCTGGATCGGCTGCCCAGGGCCTTTTGTCTAAAGCGGGCCTACTGTGCACATTTTGCCCTACAAGTAACAAAATGGAAGGCTGGGATCACATTTTTCTCATCACGGACAAAGAAATGAATTTTAAAAAAATAGAAAAGCTCAGGTCTGGTGAGGATTCTAGAGGGTTTATGGGAAGAGGGCTCATGGAATACTCTGCAGTCTGTACTACCTAGCCCTCTGGGCACTGGAAGCAGAGAGGATGCAAGAACCTGGAGCAGAGAGGGCAGGAGACTAGTGCTGTGCCGGGGGAGCTGCTGCGGTGGGCCGGCCACTGATTCCATCAGGTGAGTTCACTTGGAGCCCCACCACCCCCCACCCATTACCAGGAAGGTGAGACCCTGTCCATTTCCCACTCCCTCCTCCTTAGGACATAGTTTCTCTGGGAACATTAGAAGCCCTTAGCCCCTAACATGGCTGATGTATGGTTTCTCTGAATTCCCACCAAATGCCCGCTTCCCTGCACACAGTTAGGTTGAGGCTATTTCTGCTGGAGGAAGACTCATGAGTAGTTAGGGTCCCTGTCAGCAAAACCTCTCCCTCCACTTCCTCCACTCCAGTCAATGTGGACAGAGATTGACGTGGCACCTCAACACAGCAGAGTAATGCAAGAGAGCCCAGGGTCTTAAGCAATTTAAAATATAGATTAAGGAAAAAAATCAAACTTTTATACTTTGTCTTTGTATTTCAATTGCAATAACACCCAAAAAAGCTATTGGTCACTGTACAGACTGTGAATGAAATGGAGAAACACCATAAAGATCAAATCCCACCTCATACATGCAGATAGAACAAGCTTATCTTACAACAACAAGACGGGCACAGCCAGCTCTGTGTTCTGTATGTAACACAGTGGCCTATACCGAGGCCTCCAATTTGATCCCAAGAAGACCTGACTGACTTACGGGAAAACACCAGAATATCCTCTGCTTCGGCAGATTAGAGTCATCTCTGGTCTCTACTCTCATCCCTAATTCCAAATTTTCTTCTCTTTCTTTTTTTTGTCTACATATTTTTTCTTCCTATAGTACTGTCTATATCCTTTAAGTTGTCTCAAATCATTTTTTGAGCAGGGCAAGATAAAATAAACAAGGATAGGCCTTGTAGGGAAGGAGAAAAAGCTTTTTCCTTCTACCCTCCTAGGTTCCCAACTGGGTCTCTGTAACAAAAGATCAAAAAGGGAAAAGCATGCAAATTTATTTAATATTATATGACATGGGAGCCTTCATAAGGAAATGAAGATCCAAAGAAGTGGTTAGGCCTGAACATTTTTATGCTGGGTTTGTTGAAGAGTCGACAGTCATGGAGAAATGTGATAGGACAGAGGGGGTTGATCTCAGCGTGGTCAACTGCGGAGATGTAGGAAGGCTGCTCGTTAGGTTCCCCTCAGTGCCCTGCCATCTGGGGATCAGGATG